CCGCCCCGCCCTGTCCAGTCCCGCCCTGCCCTACCCCGCACCCCTACACTTTCCCCTTCCCCCCGTCAGCAGCGCCCCTCGTGGGCGTCGGGCTGCAAGGTCACTCAGGATGACCCGGAGGGCTATCCGGCTAGAAGTGACATCACAGCGCCGGGTGTAAAAGAACGAGAGTGAGGGTGCTGAGAGAGTTGGCACACAAGTGGGTCCCCCGGGGGCAAGACCCTCTCTCTAATGTCTAAAAACAGAGGGTTTTGTGACGTCTCCATTCACCGTGTCCGCGTGTAGCCGTCGCGGTACGCGGATACACACACACTCACAAATCATACGTGTCGGTGGTGGAGGGCATATTGGGCGGACCTCGCATCTCCACGGACGGAAATAGCAAACTCGCAGGTTCGGGCGCGCGCGGAGAGCAGGGCCAGCAGCTATTTAGAAGGCAAAAAACAAGATTTTTAAACATAGCCACACTCACGCAGCGCCGAGCGCATGACCTCGGCGGTGACGGTCGAGCATCCAAAGTCGATCAGCGTCGGGGCGTCGACGTCGCGCAGCTGCTTCTCAAAGTCGCGCACTGAGTCCTTCACCTGCCGGATGCACTTCTCATGGGGTGCGACGTTGGGGCTGTAGGGGGGCAAGAACTCGACCACGAAGCCGCGAGAGTGGAAGAGGTTCAGAAGCTGCTGGTTTCGGTGGATGCCGCAGTTGTCCATGATGACGACCGATCGCTGCTCCATGCCAAAGCACTGCGTGAACTTGCTCATCACCGGCATCTGCAGGCGGGTGGAGGGTGCCTTGGTTGGTTGAGGGCTGGCGTGTGGGGCGAACCCGTCTTAAAAATCTAGAGGGGCGAGCCTCACCAAGTGGTCGGTGCACGCGGATGCAAACGCCTCCGAGTCAAAGCCCCCCTCGACCGTGACGTGGCCCACGTGGCCCACGTTGACGTCGAAGAAGCCCAGCATCGAGTGGCGCTTGCCCCGCGCGAGGATGCCTCGGCTCGAGTCGGCCCGCAGGCCGCGCAGCGCATAGCCGTAGCGCCTACGTTGGAGAAACGTGGGGTCCGGGAGGAGAGTTGAAAGTTGGTGACTGAGCTGTGCTCCCGCTCGGGCACTTGTTGAGCAGCCGCTTGTCCACAGCCGACTCGTCGATCCAGATGAGCTGCTCGAGGTTGTAGTTGTTGAGAATGTGGGTCACAAAGTCTTGCGCCTTTCGCGCGTCGTACGCCTCGACCAGCAGGGAGAGCTGTGGGCAGGGAGGAGGGGAGGGGGTGTGGGGAAAGGGCCAGGTGCACTCTCTGGTGAGGAGGTGAGGGATAGCGCGCCCGCTTGCGCGTCATGCCCATCCGCTTCAGCGTCTGGCACATCGTCGGGATGCTCATGCGGATGCCGGTCACGTTGTAGAAGGCACTGCAGATGTCGCTCAGGCTGTCCTCCATGTTGCACTGGGTCAGGCAGTCCAGAAGTTGCGGATGCAACTCGGGCGGCACGATTGCCGGGCTCAGCCGCTCGCCCTGGTGCGAAGAGATGTCGTGCGGCGGCGTCTCGAAGCGTCTCCAGATCTCGCACGCCGAACTCTCTGAGACGAGGAGGTCGTCCGCGATCTCGGCGAAGGTCATGTCAAAGACGAGGCGCTTGTACACAATCCGCCAGCGCAAGTCATCTGAGAGCGCGGATGAGGAGCCGAGCGGGCCGAAGCCAGTTGGCGACGGCGGCGGCGAGTCCAGCGGAGGCGAGCCCAGCGGCGCGTCCGACGGGTGGAGGAGCGGCAGCAGGGACTGCGTGCGACGCGAAGCGCGGGCGGGCGAACGCCGCGCGGACGCAAGGGCCAGGCCGGCGGCGAGCACGCCAGCGAGCGACAGCAGCGCCAGAACCGCGAACATGGTGCTCGAAAAGAACCGGGAAGACTGGTGGGTTAGAGCTCCGAGCCGTCTAGGGATCCCTGCGGCAGAACACAGGAATGAGTACATCAAAGTCCCTAGTGTTGTGCGAAAAAGAAGTTCGAGCGCCAGGTAGTCCGGGGTAGAAAAGAAGTTCGACCGTCCGCAAACGTCCCTCGGTCGCACTTCGGCGACAGTCTCGCTTCGGCCTCTCGCCGCTGGTACTGAATATGCGCAACATCCATCCGTCCACAACCAATTGGTAGAGCACACCTCGTCTCTGCGCCGCAGTGGCTGCGTGACGGGCGAGCTCCCAGTGGGATCGCTTGTGAGTTCGTCACGGCGTTGAGGTCAGGATGGAGCCAGTCGGACCAATCAGAAGCTGACCTGAGCAGTGCCACTTTCAACACGGTCAGGGCGGGAGGGGCGGACATGGACCCGCCGCGAACTCCCTTGTGTGGGCAGTAGCTGCCGGCCGTGAACCCCTTCCCGGACCAAGAATGAATGTGCATGTGCGAGGCGTGCCGGCGTACGTGGAGAGCGACTGTTTAATGGCAGATGGGTGTGGCACCTGTGCGGGTGTGCCGCCGTCTCGGTGTGTCCGCTCCCTGGGAGTGATGACGCTACGTGGAGTTCGGCAGCCGCCCGCGGTGAACCAACTCGCTCGCGGCTCCAGTGCACCAACTCCCTCGCGGCTCGGCTGTGGCTCGGCTCCGGCTGGCGGCGTCTCGTGTCTCGCTCCTCTGTGTGGCCGCATACTCGAGTGACTCGGCTCTGTCCTCTTCGGTCTGTCTCCCTACCAATGCCCGTCCCTGC